TATATATATGTATATATGTGTGTATATATATGACACATTTTATGTGAAGTATGTGTCTGGCTTTTATGCATTTTGATAATCTCCTTACTGGTAAAGTAAGTTGAGGCACATAAAGAAATGGCCTAATTTGGACATACTGTAACCAATGCATATTGAGAACAATGATGGGTTTCAAAAAAAAATTGCAAAGAGCTGGCCTTTCTGGAACAAACACCAGAGTACATATGTTTTGGAATCGTGAATGAAATAACAGTGTTATCAGATAGTTGCTGGAGTGTCTGACAGTCAAATCAGTGAAGGTCATCCAAAACAAGATGCTTTTGAATGCATTAGACACAAATACCAGAACTTGATATATTTTCATATAGGTTACGCATATAGGCTTGTGAGAAGTACAGTGAAGCCCCAATTTTCGCAGAGGTCCTGTTCTTAGAGTACCTGTGAATTGTTAAAAAATAGTGAATACTGGATGTGGTTAAAAAACCCTCCAAAGCATTTYGATGGCATCATATTGCAATGGGAACTAAACAAAAAACGTAACAGAGAAACAGTTAGCAACTGTTAGAAGGTGGAAATGCTGCGGCCCTGGCACAGCGTGGGCACAGGACATGTGTCACGTACTGCACTGCTTTTTTATATGAAAATAAATTTACGTTACAAAATTTGTTTGTTTCAAAGATAATAAATTAAGGTTCTTATGATTTTAGACTGAAAACTCACAAAAAAAGCACAAGAGAGAAAACAAAAGTTCACATTCTTTACTGTACTGTATTTACATAATTGATGGTTTCTGCAAAATTATGGGGATTACCGGAAAATGCCAAGACGAGAGGACCAACACTGCTCTTTTTGTTGACAGAGATAATAAAATGTCCTTGTRTTAAGGTGTGGAAAAGCCATAGTCTTCAGATCACTTCTGGTATATTTCTGGGGATGTCAGTGACATCCTGCAATGCATACAATGGTTTCACACCAAACGGCAGCTTGTACTTAAACYTGAACTAGTGTCACGCCCAAATGACATGACATGAGTTATCCATTTGGTCTAATAGTGTAATAATAAAGTCACATAACCTTTCAACTTGGGGCATTTTATTCCAGCCACTCTGTCACTACGCTGAACAATTTTTCTTCTCTCTCTATAAATGCAGCTTAAAATAAAAGCCAATTTAAGCAACATCTCAATCAATGGGTTTTACAACTTCACCAAACCACTAGAGATAATGAACTGTTCTGCTTGGATGCTGAGATTATTTCATTGAGCACTGGGGAGATAAAATTAAGTGCTTTTCCCCATTAAACTATAGTCACAGCTAAACTTTTAGCGCACAGCATGGTGAAAAGTAAAATTGAGTCAGGATGAATTAACAAAGGAATTAACTTGATTACCTTCTTCTATGTATAACGAATAAATCCCATTGTTGCCACAGATCAATCATAGAAAAGAAGATTGGCTTTAAAGAAACTCCTCTCAAATTTTAATTTRGAAATTTTAATTTAAAAAACCCTTTTAATCAGGTCTAATGGAAATTAAAATGAACAGCGCGGCTCACTGTTGTCAGCTCCTTTTTCTCCGTAACCAGTTCTGCAGGGTCAAATATTTCCTTTACTAATCTCCTTTCTTTCATCCCACCATAAGTCTGTCRCATTTCCAAGATAAAAGACATACACAAATAATCAGTAATTAGTCAAAGCTTGTCTTATTTTTGGGGGGAATTTTTCAGCAGTTGTGACTAAAGTCTGTATCTTGACTCTGGAATCCAATAGTTTTGCAGTTATACAGCATTTACTGTGGATGACATCATCTGATAACTGAAGCGTGTCCAGAAACCCATGACTGTTGATGCTGTGATTAGTTTCAAACAGGGTTCTTTCAATTATTACTCCTTTCACAATGAAGATCATCATTACCATCAGTCCCAGGGCGCAAGCTTTTATGACTTTTCTTAATTGGAGTCTGCAGAATCGTACCAATAAACAGCATCATCAGTGGCTGATTTTGTGTGTGTGTGTGTGTGTGTGTGTGTGTGTGTG